AAAAAAGAGCAAGGGAAGGACAAGAAAAATGGGGGCTGTGACAGACTGTTTCATCGACTTTCGCCAACTCGTCAAGAGTCCAAACCCTCGACAGCCTGCATGGTCTTATATCCATTTTGGATATTCTCACCATTGCCAGTCCATTTGCCAGTGTTGGGAAATTACAATGTAATGGTCTGTCCCCGAAGAAATCGGTGGTGGGACCCAGGGTCGGCGAGTCCCATAAATCTTAGTTTTCTTTTGCCCATGCGTGAAAGAAAAAGGAAAAAAAAGAAAAGCTTATGTACTGCAATGATGTCGGGCAGGGTAGCCTAGGAGGCCGTGCTCGCAGTCTTCCTCTACAGAATGCATCCTACAGCAAAGACGGTCACATTCTGAAACTCGTTGTTTTCTTTTTTTTATTTCTCGTTTGTTTATTATGAGTCCCCTGCCAACGAGGCAGGGCGGAATCCGCGATCTGCGCTGGCTGTGTTTCCTCAGAGGATTGTAACCCTGATCCGTGTTTCCGTTTCTTTTTTTTTTTTTTTTGTTTCTGGAATCTGACAATCTGAATCCGTGATCTGCTCGGGCTGTGTTCCCTCAGAGGATTGTAACCCTCATCACACTGGCACTTAGAGGAACGTATCCAGCCATTTTCACGGCCGAATACGTGTTTCTGTTTATTTTTTTTTGTGTGTTTTTGGAATCCGACAACCTGGCCATGGGGCTGAGATGCCCTCACTGAGGGCACGCTCACACTACCACTTCCAAGAATGTATACAACTTCAATCACGGCCAGAGCATTGTTTCCATTTCTTTTTCTGTGAGTTTCACGGCCACAACTTTTCTTTTTTTTTTTTTCCTTTTTTTTTTCTCTCCCCGTGAGAGTACCATAAAGAAATGGAGTGGGACCCAGGCTCGGCAAACTTGGAGCGCAGTGAAATTCAGGGTCGGCAAAAACAGGCTCGGAGGTACTGCTGGTTTAAGGGCACAAAACTGACATTGCCTGATATTGCCTGACGTTGTCTGAATAAGTTAATAAGAAAATAGATTGATTGAGAGGATTCTGACCAATGTAGTACTGTTGGCCTGCGGCTACAGGGCGGCGGTGAGGGCGTGGGAGTTGATGGGAAGCCTCGCCGGCTGGACAGGTGAGGGCTGAATTGCATACAATTAACACACAGAAAGCTTGAACTGTAATAGAAGAGAGCAATCTGCAACGCTGGCACACTATTATTGCAAGGGGTTCCTTTCAAATGTCTGTCATGTTTGCTGTGCGTGGTACTTTCAGTAGGGGAGGTGTGTGTG